GTGTTTGGTTTAGGCTTTCATGTCAGTGGTGATAGGGAGGGCTGGTAGTAGGGCCGGTAGTTGTGGGTAGGGCTTGTAGTCTAGGTCAGTGTGGATGGTTGGGAAGGTTGTGCCTCTGTAACTTCCAGTTGGTCTACCTCTTTTTCATTTTCCCGTCTGTCCCCAATACCACGTCTGATAAGACAATCTTGATCTCCTCACTGGTTGTACACTGATTTGTTTTTGTTTTTTTCTCTCTCTTGATCTCCTCACTGGTTCTACCCTGATCTGTTGTTTTTTTATCTCTCTCCCTAGGCGAGCGACGAGTCTGAGCCTTCCCATGGCCATGCGCTTCCGTAAGCTGAAGACATTTGCCAAGGAAGCCGTGGATGTTTACCGCTCTAAGATCCACGGCAGGGGTCTCTTTTGTAAACGCAACATCGACGCAGGCGAGATGGTGATCGAGTACGCTGGGGAGGTGATCAGAGCGTCCCTCACCGACAAGCGGGAAAAGTATTACGAGAGCAAGGTGAGGATATATCGGATCGTCGCTCGAGTATACAACAACCCTGTGTATGTCCCACTAAAACAAAAATTCTACAGGAGAAGGGGGAAAAACTTTGTCAATTGGTCACTTTTAAGCACAAGTGGGCTATCCCGAAAAATGCTGTTTTGAGAAAATGAAAGGCAACGTTTTTGCCCCTTGTTCAGTCTATTTAAAAGACAAGGAGAGTTTTCTCTATAATCAAACAAATATACACACTAGTGAAACCAAACTTCTATAGGTTGGGCAATGTCCACTTTTGGTGTAGGTCAAGATTTCTGGAAACCCCTGAAATCTGGGTCAGCCCGCTTGTCCTTAAAAGCAACCAATTTATCTAACAATGTTTGTTAAAAATTAAAATCTGAATGTTGCACTGATGATGTTTATTCAGCTACATGTCTTAAAAATTGGACATAAAATTCGTAACGATGCATTTAGTAAAATTTAAAACAACTTTAGTAGAAAGAAAAAAAAGTGTTTTTTTGACATTGGGTGGGTTACTGGGTTGTTGTACCGAGACAACGAATATGTTATTTTTTATGTGTGTGTCCTTTTGTATGTGTGTGTGTGTGCGTGTGTGTCCGTACATGTGTGTATGGATATGTGGAAAGGAATGTAGATTCAAGTAGTTTGGAGATCCAGTAGATAATTTTCATATTTTCCTTTCTGAGAACAAAATAAATACAGTGTAGGTGGTTGGCGGATGCTCTGGTGTGGTTTGCTGCTTCTTTCCTATCAAACATCTATCGTCCTTATCTCCCCTTCTTCTTTTTTATGTTTGTTACTCTCTTGTAACACCTCTAATCTTCTGGCGCTCATATGACCTTCTGCTGTTGCTAGCGCCGAAAAACCTCTACTAAAACCAAACTAAAATAAATGCAGTGTGAGTCAAACCTGCTCCCTCTAGCAATCTCCTACCAAGACTACCGCTTGTTGCTTCCTTCCTTGTGTGTGGTTGGCGGGCGCTCTGGCGTGGTTTGCTTCTTCTTTCCTACCGAACATCTGTCATCCTGGTCTCTCTTCCTTCTTTTTGTGTTCGTTACTCTCTTCTTGTAACACCTCTAATCTTCTGCCCTTATAATAACTATCAAACATCTATCGTCCTTATCTCTCCTCCTTCTTGTTTGTGTGTGTGTGTTTGTTACTCCCTTGTAACTCCTCTAACCTTCGGCACTTATTATATGACCTTATTGTGTTGCAAGTGCGGTAAAATACTTACTAAAACTAAAACATCTATCGTCCTGATCTCTCACCCTTCTGTTTTGTGTTTGTTACTCTCTTGTAACACCTCTAATCCTCCACACTTCTATGACCTTATTGTGTTGCAAATACCGTAAAATACTTACTAAAGCTAAAATATTAAAATGCAAATGCTATCTATTATTATTATTATTGTGTGTTTGTCTTATTTTCAGGGAATCGGCTGCTACATGTTCCGCATCGATGACGACGAGGTGGTGGATGCGACGATGCATGGCAGCGCCGCACGCTTCATCAACCATTCCTGCGAGGTGAGAGATTGTCGCTGACTTTTGAGGTTGAGTTTGATGGACTGAATTTTACCCCCCGGGGCAGTGCCACTGACTGTAGTGTCTTTGGGCCATTCCCAAAGGGGGGACATTTTTCGTTCAAGCACAGTAGAATTGTAAATGGGCTGATTCATCATGTCACACTCATAACTGTGCCTGATCTACAACAGTGAACTGCTGCTTTTTTCTTTTTTAATCCTTACTATCGCCATTTTTCCTCTACTTTTGTATGTTTGTCACACTCTTGTGACCCGCTATATCATGAGTGCCTTGATAGTCGAAGCAGACGTTGTGCTGTTGAAGCTAGAGAAGTGAGCAGAGTAAGCCTGATTCCTTGTAAAGACTTCTCTGTTGACATCCACCCCTTGGCGCTCATATGACCTTTCCTGTCAAAGATCTGTCCTCCTAATCTCTTATCCTCCTTCTTTTTTGTGTTTGTTACTCTCTTGTAACCCCTCTCTCTAATCTTCGGCGTTTATACGACTTGGTTGTGTTGCAAGTGATGTAAAATATTTATTGAAATATGATGTTTTGCAAGTTTTTTGTTTTTGTCCTCCATTAATTTCTTCCCTCCCTTTTTCTCCCTCCCCCAGCCCAACTGCTTCTCCAAGGTGATAATGGTGGATGGGAAGAAGCACATTGTCATTTTTGCCATGAGACCGTAAGTGATTTGTGTTGTCGATGAAGACTGTAAGGTTTCTGCACCGCTTTGTCTTACTCTTCTGTCGCTTCTCTTTTTTCTCCATATCTCTCTCCTCCTTCTGTGTCGCCTCTTCTTTTTCCTACTCCTCTTTCTTTTCATTCTGTCTCTCCTCGTCTTTGTCCTACTCCACTTTCCTTTCCTCCTCCTGTCTCTCCTTCTTTTTCCTCCTCCTCTTTCTCCTTCTCCTCCTCCTGTCTCTCCTTATCTTTTTCCTACTCCTTTCTCTTCCTCCTGTCACAGTCGTACTCCTCTTTACCCCCTCTCCTCCTGTCTATCCTCTCTTTTTTTTCCTCGTCTCTTACTTCTCCAACCTCCTCCTCTTCCTCCTCCTCCTCTTCCTCCTCCTCCTGCTACTTCTTCCTGGCACCTGCCAGCGTTATCATGGAAGTGGAAATGGTTGGTCTGTGCACTGGTGTTCCTTCTTATCCTCTTCTTTTTTGCTTTAGCCTGTCTGTCTGTCTGTCTCTGGTGAAATCTTTCGTGAAATCTGTCGCTTCTGATATGCTGACTGGTTATTCTACAGACTGGCTGTGCTGCTGTTTGAATGTAAAAACCTGGTATCTTACAAAATAATCTTTTGTCGCAAAGTGAAAAAAAAAAAACGTGAAAAAAACCTTTTAGGATATCATTTTCTTATCTCAATGTGAATTTTTAGGACATCATTTTCCAACATCTGTCGTTCTTATCCCTCCTTCTTTTTTGGTTTGTTTGTTACTCTCTTGTAACACCTCTAGTCTTCGGCACTTATATGACCTTATTGTGTCTGTTACTCTCTTGGAAACACCTCTAGTCTTCGGCACTTATATGACCTTATTGTGTCTGTTACTCTCTTGGAAACACCTCTAGTCTTCGGCACTTATATGACCTTATTGTGTATGTTACTCTCTTGGAAACACCTCTAGTCTTCGGCACTTATATGACCTTATTGTGTTGCAAGTGTCGTAAAACACTTACTAAAACGGAAGAAAAGAGTTGATTTGTCCACTCTTTGTCTATGAGGGTTTTTTTTTACCAGAATTGTTACTCATAGGTAGGTCCTATTTCTGTACTGAGGTTTTTGTCTATCAGCTTGCTTTTTCATAGCTTTGAAAGACTGTTACTTTGTCAATATATATGCTTCTCTCTACTCATGCAGTCAAATGTTTTTTGTGGACTAAGGACAGTTTTCCGCTTTGCCACTTTTTTCCATTGTCCACAAGGGTAATTGGAGAAAGATCTTAACAAATTTTCATTGAAAAAGAAATGGAGTGGAGTCTGCCTTAACCCTATCCATACGTCATGTTTTACTGTTGTATCCATACGACGTGGGGAACTCTCTGCCACCACTTAACCCTATCCGTACGTCATGTTTTACTATTGTATCCATACGACGTGGAGAACTCTGTGCCACCACTTTCAAAAGAGGAAATTTACTTTTTAATCAGTTCCGTACGCTTTGCATAGTAGTCTGTCAAAATGATTTTTTGAGAAATACTGAAAGTTTCAAAGACATCTTCGCTCTAGAAGTATTCTAAAATGTGAAGAATACTACCCAGGGGGTACGAAATGACCCCAGGGCGTACGGATAGGGTTAAATCGAACACCATTACTCCAAAAAGGGCTGTTAACCAAAAGAATAAAAAATCCCCTAATGTGTTTTTTTTTCCTTTCTTTCTTTCTTTCTTTCTCTTTTCTTTTTGGCTATCTCAACAATCTGTCTGAATCAAAAACAGAGCTAAACAGAAGAGAGTATGTTGGTCTCGCAGATTTCGGTTCAATTGGACTGTAATTTACCTTTGTCCTCAGTGTCGCCTGAAAGTTACGAGCAGATGTTTTAAATCAACTTTCTGTCTCTCTTCCTCGTGGGTGGTTGGCGGGTGCTCTGGTGTGGGTTGCTTTTTCTTTCCTATCAAACATCTGTCGTTCTTGCCTGTCCTCCTTTTTTGTGTTTGTTGCTCTCTTGTAACACCTCTAATCTTTGGCACTTATATGACCTAATTGTGTTGCAAATGCCGTAATACCTGTTACTAAAACAAAAATCTCTCCCTCTCCTCTCTCACTGATTTATCAATGTCATGCTCATACTATGCTGGAACAACATGGAGGAACGGCTGCTTTTTCTTTCCTCATCCTTACTATCGTCATTTATCCTCTACTTCTTTTTTATGTTTGTAACTCTTTTTTGACCTGTTATTTCCGGGGTGCCTTGGTAGTCAAAGCAGACTTTGTGCTGTTGAGGCTAGAGAGGTGAGCAGAGTAAGTCAGATTCCCCGTTTGGACTTCTCTGTTGAGATCCACCCCTTGGCGTTCATATGACCTTTTGCAGTTGCGGGCGCTGTAAATCCTTAATAAGCGGGTGGTTGGCGGGTGCTCTGATATGGTTTGCTCCTTCTTTCCTATCAAACATCTATCGCCCTGATCTCTCCTTTTTCTTTTTTGTTTGTTACTCTCTTGTAACACCAGTAATCTTCTGGCGCTCATATGACCTTATGCTACTGCGAACGCCGTAAAACCTCTACTAAAACTAACTTCTAATCTTCGGCACTTATATGACTTAATTGTGTTGCAAGTGCCATAAAACACTTACTAAAACTCAGCTAAAACCTTACTAAAACTGAAAAAAAACTCTCTCTCTCTCTGTACAGAATCAAGCGCGGGGAGGAGCTCACCTACGACTACAAGTTCCCCATCGAGGAGGTCAAAATTCCGTGCTCATGTGGCTCTAAGCGCTGTCGAAAGTACCTGAACTGAGCCTCAGAGGGGCAAGGGAGGGCTAATCCAGTGCTCGAGAGCCGACGAGCCGTGCTGGAAGTACCTGAACTGAGCCTAAGAGGGTTAATCCTGTGGCTCTATGCGCTGTCAAAAGTATACCTGAGCTGAGCCTAAGAGGGTTAATCCAGTGCTCGAGAGCCGACGAGCCGTGCTGAAACCTACCTGAAATGAGCCTAAGAATTTTAATCCAGAGCTTGAGAACCGACAGGCTGCGTTGAACGTACTCCTGAACTGAGCCCAGGAGGTTTTAATCCAGAGCTTGAGAACTGTTGACCTTTGCCGAAAGTACCCAGACTGAGCCTAGAGGAGGGTTAATCTTTTGCTTGCTCGAGAATGGATGAGCTGAGCTGTGCTGGTCATGGCTTGAGGTGTGGGCGTTGTGACCCTCCCGGGATGAGATCCAGTGAGAAGACTCTCGGGCCAACAAGCCGACACAAGGAGATTAGGGGGGGGGGAGTTGATTTGTGCGTGCGTCGGAGCCACCGGTGTTCATGTGTGTGAGGTCAAGGTCAAGGTCTCCACCAGAATGTTCATGTGTGGATGAGGGCTCACCAGAATGTTTATGTATGTGTCAGAGCTCACTAGAAAGTTCATGTATTGATCAGAATGTTCATGTATGGATCAGAGCTTGCTAAAATGTTAATACGTACGGATCAGAGCTCATTAGAATGTTCATGTATGGATCAGAGCTCACTAGAATGTTCATGTATGGATCAGAGCTCATTAGAATGTTCATGTATGGATCAGAGCTCACCAGAATGTTCATGTACGGATCAGAAAGTTCATGTACAGATTAGAATGTTTATGTATGGAACAGAGCTCATTAGAATGTTGATATATGGATCAGAATGTTCATGTATGGATCAGAATGTTCCTGTGTGGATCAGAACTCGCAAAAATGTTCATACGTATGGATCAGAGCTCACTAGAATGTTCACATGTATGGATCAGAATGTTCATGCACGGATTAGAATGTTGATGTATGGATCAGAATGTTCATGTATGGATCAGAGCTCACTAGAATGTTCATGTATGGATTAGAATGTTAATGGGTGAAATAGAGCTCATCAGAATGTTGATATGGATCAGAATGTTCATGCATGGATCAGAGCTTTCTAGAATGTTCACATGTATGGATCAGAGCTTTCTAGAATGTTGATGCACACGGATCAGAGCTCACTAGAATGTTCATGTATGGATCAGAGCTCACTAGAATGTTCATGTATGGATCAGAATGTTCATGTATGGATCAGAGCTCACTAGAATGTTCATGTATGGATCAGAATGTTAATGTATGAGACAGAGCTCATTAGAATGTTGATATATATGGATCAGAATGTTCATGCATGGATCAGAGCTCACTAAAATGTTCATGTATGGATCAGAGCTCATTAAAATGTTCATGTATGGAACAGAGCTTAGTAAAATGTTCACATGTATGGATCGGAGCTCATGTGCAAGTGAGGGCCCGCTGAAATGTTCACGTGTGAGCCGTAGTCCATGGAAAGGCGAGATGTGATGAGAGACCACCTCTGTAGCCAGCCGGTCCGTTTACCGTGTTGCAATAAATCCAGTGTTGAACCCCCCCAGGGGCGGTGCTACTGACTGAATCGTCTTTAGGCCATTCCCAAAGGGGGGGACATTAACATATTCTTATGCTCGGTAGAATTGTAGATGGGCTGATTCATCGATGTCATGCTCATAACTGTGCCTGAACTGCCAACGGGGAACTGCTGCTTTTTCTTTCCTACTCCTTTCTGTCGTCAATTTCCTCTCTCTACATCTTTTGAATGTTTGTCACTCTCTTGGGATCTGCTATTTTCCGGGGGTGCCTTGATAGTCGAAGCAGACTTTGTGCTGTTGAAGCTAGAGAGGTGAGCAGAGTAAGCCTGATTCCCTATATGGACTTTTCTGTTGACATCCACCCCTTGGCGCTCTTATGGCCTTATGCAGTTGCGAGCGCCGTAAAAACCCTACTAAGACAAACAAAGAAAATCCAGTCCTGTTGTAACACAGACGTGTAATATATATATAAATACTGATATGTATCTATCTCTATCTCTATATATATATAGCAAGAACTGACCCAGCCATGATCCTTGAACAAATTCCTTTCATTTTTCTATTCGCATTTTATAAATCCTGTTTGTTTGTTCGCACGATGTAAAAATGTTGAGAACAGAGGCTGCTTGTTTTTGAGTGAGTGGGTGAGTGATGGTGGTTGTGTGAGAACGTGAGTGCTGTGTGTGTGTGTGTGTCTAAGTGTGAGGGTAAACTTTAAAAAAATGCAAAACAGAAGAACTTTTTTCCCCACCTGCTTTGTACATCTTGGTTCCGCCCATTGTTTGTTTCAGACTGTGGCGGGTTTGTGATGTTTATAGTTCGGCGCGTTTTTGTTCGAGTCTCCTCCGCCGTCGCCCCTGCTCGTATTGTTGTGAGCGGCTGGGGCAGAAATAAGCGGACTGATATTTAAGTGTATATATATACATTTGTGCACACGCGCGTGTGCGTGCATGCGCAGTGAATGAACAGGAGGTGGTATGAGCGTGTGTGTGTGCATATGCATGCGTATATGTGTGTGTGAGAGAGAGAGAGAGTGACTGTCTCACGGTTTTGGCCATATAATTATCTGTCACTGGCCCAGTGCTCATTTTATAATTCCTTCATTGTTGAAAAATGTTTGTGACGAGTTAGTTTGGCTAAGTCGAAACATTCATCAATGGTGATTTGTAAGGCGTTTCTTTTTTTGTTTTGTTTTTTCTTTCATGGAATTATTTTTGCTTTTTAATTTTAGAAATGGATGTAGTATTACTGCTGTTCATTGTCAAAACCTTGTGTTCATTAGCCTTATGATGATGGTGAAGATAATGACGACTTATTATTACATGAAAGCTTGCTATTAAATGACTACAATGAATTTTTTAATGACTTTATGAAGTTGTTTCTTTTTGTGTGTATGTGTTTGTGAGTGTGATGGAAGGTTTTGTGTTTGAGTGTGTGTGTGCATGCGTGCAGTAAGTAGATTTTGTGTGTGTGCGTGCAGTAGTGAGATTTTGTGTGTGTGCGTGCAGTAGGTGGATTTTGTGTGTGTGCGTGCAGTAGTGAGATTTTGTGTGTGTGCATGCAGTAGTGAGATTTTGTATTTGCGTGTGTCGGGTCAATTTTTTGTTGATGGTGACTTGTTTATTTCTTTGTCGCGACTATTACAGTAGAAATTCTCTAGCCACCCATTTTTTTTAGGACCAAGGTGGCTATTTCCATCTTGCAAAGTGTCATTATGATGTAAAAAAGTATGTTAGGGAGGAAGTGGCCTGTATATCGATGGCTGAGCGAGCGCAAGAAGTGACTATTTTTATATCCACGTTGGGTCGCAATGGAATAATCGATGTATGGTTGTATAGTGAGATTTGAAGACGCTTTTTTTAACCTCTGTAAATATCTCGGCCATAGCTCAATTAGATATGGAGATATCAACATTCCTTTTTTTTTTTACTATATTTCTAATTCGTCAAAATTTTAAACTGGTTTATCTTGAAACTGTGGAAAGCAGCTAGGGTCACTTCTTGAGTGGGTGGTTGGCGGGTGCTCTGGTGTGGTTTGCTGCTTCTTTCCTATCAAACATATATCATTGTTTTCTCCCCTCCTTCTTTGTTGTGAGTTTGTTACTCTCTTGTAACACCCTTAATCTTCGGCATTTATATGACCTTATTGTGTTGCAAGTGCCGTAAAACTCTTACCAAAACTAAACTTTTTTTGGCTATGTTGTAGTGATTTCTAAATTGTCAAAATTTCAAAATGGTTTTTCTTGAAACTGAGAAAAGTGGATATAGTCACTTCTTGCGCTTGGTGATCGTTGTGACTGGAGCAGAGACTACTAACTACTACATGTGTTAAGAGTACACAGCTGATTATACCGGTGTCAATCCCTGGTTTATTTTTCCCTTTTTTCCTGAACTATTTAACTATATGCCTACGGTACTTGATTACTAAATGTGTCGCTTCATGGTGAAATCAGACGTTCGTTTTTTAAAAAAAGATGAAATTTTAAAAAGTCATTTTCCCGCTCGTTCTGCAGTTTTTATAAGTTTTTATATTTTTTGTGGCTCATTAATGTCCATCTAAAAACACATTTTTGAGTGGATTTGTACTGGAAATCGTTGGTCAAGGGGACAAAAAAGTGTGGGGTGTTTTTTTGGTAAGTGTTTTACGGCGCTCGCAACTGCATAAGGTCATATGAGTGCACGGTACACACAGTTGGTAGGAAATTTTGGATTTTACCCGGGTGACGGGCGAAGCCTACTGGTATCGATTTTAGACCACCAAGGGATCTTTAACATTCGCAACTTGGCACACGCGACTTCCGGGATTTCTTGCCCTTGTCCGAGAAGGCTAGGTGTAGATCTTTCCTACCGTAAGATCAGGGGTGTAGCTGAAAGACAGCAGTAAGAAGGAACCAAGGAGTAGCAGTAGAAAGGCTGCAGAAAGAGTCAGGAGCCCAGAGGTGAGGACAAAGGAGGTGAGGGGGTGTAAATTTGTAGTTTCCTTTATTGTGTTGCATATGCCGCTAAACTCTTACTAGGACTAAATGTGTGTGGGAGAGTGTGTGTGTGTTTGTGTGTGAGGGAGTACTGGTGCAAAAAATTTCTACCGGTGTTATGAGAGGCTGCTTACTAGAAAAGGCCTCCCTTTTTCTACACAAAGTACTATGTGTACTGTAAGAAAGAAGATATTTTCCCATGAGAGTTCTATTTGGTTTTCCCTCCTTTCCTTTTCATTCCTTCATTTTTGCTGCTTCTTTCCTATCAAACACCTATCGTCCTGATCTCTCCTCCTTTTTTTGTGTGTTTGTTACTCTCTTGTAACATCTCTAAACTTCGGCACTTATATGACCTTATTGTGTTGCAAGTGCCGTAAAACTCCTACTAAAACTAAACTTCCTTCATTTTTTCCCCATGCTTCGTCATGTCAGTTCTGGCATGTGTGGTGAAGAAAGTAACTGTTTGTAAGGACGTGAGTTCGACTTTAATGTGGTGAAGATATTCTAACCCTATCCGTACGCCCTGGGATCATTTGTACCCCCGGGGTGGTAATCTTCACTTTTACGAATACTTTTAGTACGAAGATGTCTTTGAAACTTTCAGTATTTCTCAAAAATTCATTTTGACAGACTGCTATGCAAAGCTTACGGATCGGATTAACGAGAAAGTTTCCTCTTTGGAAAGTGGTTGCACATCGAGTTCCCCACGTCGTATGGATACGATAGTAAAACACGACGTACGGATAGGGTTAATGGGTGGTTGGTGGGTATTCTGGTGTGGTATACTGTCAAACATGTACGTATCTTCCTTGTCTTTCCTCCTTTTTTTTGTGTTTGTTGCTCTCTAGTTACACTTCTTATCTTTGGCATGTATACTTATACGACCTGATTATGTTGTGAGCGCCGTAAAACTCTTACACTTACAAAAAAAAAACCTACTGGAACTCAAACTCTAAAGGTTTCCTAAAGTGATGGTCTCCACAGAATGAATATGGATGGCTGGAGTGAGGGAGCCAGCACAGGTAGGTCCTACTTCTTTACTTTCCCTCTGTTGTTTCTGTCTGTGTGGGTGGGTGGTTGGAGGGTGCCACAGGTAGGTCCTACTTCTTTACTTTCCCTCTGTTGTTTCTGTCTGTGTGGATGGGTGGTTGGAGGGTGCCACAGGTAGGTCCTACTTCTTTACTTTCCCTCTGTTGTTTCTGTCTGTCTGTCTTACTTTTCCCTGCACTGAATGACCTTTATTGTGTCAATGTGTGCATCCCTTTACTCAAACTCTAAACAGACAGTAGGTGGTTTGCGGGTGCTCTGGTGGGGTTTGCTTCTTCTTTCCTATCAAATATCTATCGTCCTTATCTCTCCTTCTTTTTTATGTTTGTTACTCTCTTGTAACACCTCTAATCTTCTGGCGCTCATGTGACCTTACGCAGTTGCGAGCGCCGTAAAACCTCTACTAAAACTTTTTTTTAAAAGCAAACAGACAGCAACTTCTTTAGAATGTTTAGGTGGAGTGATGACAGTTTTGTGGATTTGTTGAGCATCATTTCCTGTATTCTTTTATTCTTTTTTCTTTTATTATACATCTGCCTCATTTTGAGACACTATGCCGTATTTTAATGTCTTTTTTATGTTGTTTTTTTTTGTTTTTGGGGGGGAGGGGGTGGGGGGTTGGTGTTTTTTTTTAGCCGCAGGATTGTCTGTACTTACATAGATCCATATATTATGTTTATATTGGAGTGAGAGAGAAAGAAAGATGGAGAGAAAGAGTTGTTATTGGCACCGTATGGTGTTGCCATTCTTTGTACCCGGTATTACTATAGAGCGGACTGAGCACTTTCTAAGTAAAAATGCTCTTTTTTTTAAAAATGAATTTATTACTATTATTATCATTATTATTATTATTAATATCATTATCATCATCATTACTATTTTAAGACGGACATGAGGAAACTTATGGGTGGTTGGCGGGTGCTCTGGTGTATTTGCTCCTTCTTTCCTATAAAAAATCTATGGTCTCTATCTCCCCTCCTTTTTTTATGTTAGTTACTCTCTTGTAACACATCTAATCTTCGACACTTATCTGATATTATTGTGTAGCAAGTGCCGTAAAACTTACAAAATAA